CTTTCCCTTAGAAACAAATGTGGTTACTGTCACACTGACTCATTGCATAACAAACATAACTGCTGCAGGTTTCGAGCTGAAATGTCACTCAATGACTTACACGCTGTTACTGAGAACTCACAATACTCTACTCAGGAAAACTGAGAAAATAAAAATATGGAGGAAACAGCATGAAAATGTTACAATGTAGGCATAAGACAATACTCATTACCCCGACAAAATCTTGTGTACAGAAAACATTAACATTTCGATGACCAACCTACCAATACAGGAGGAAGCCACTAACGTAGAAATAGTTTTAGTTAAATATTATTCTTGTCTTCTTCTTCGTCCCCTGTGCTGAAACCTTCATGCACTCGCCACAGCCGTACTGCTCAAACGAGGGACAGCGGAGTAATTAACCGGAAAAGTTGTCTGTTGCAATGCGAGCCATGGTCGGCGCAACGTTAACATTACAAGGGGAGAGTACCGGGGGATTCACGGACACATCATTCTGTGTTCAGCTGCCTCCTCAGCGTTTGGTTCTCACTCAAGCTTTTGCTACTGTGCAGAAAACACTTCCGTTCAGAACTGCTGTCAATACAATTTTCTATAGGATGATTCTGCTTAGAGAGAATGAATGACACGTATGTAAAGCAGTAGGCTACTGTATGTGACAAATTAGATGCCGCTTTTCAGTAAATATTGCTGTATTTGAACTGGACCAAAAGGTAGAAAAAAATGTAATGAGTTTAATGATAACATTAGTGCCACGGGAAGTGGCAGGCGCTGCCTAGTGAGAGAGGCGTGACGTCACGCGCCTGCCTTTACAAACACAGGTGTATTACTTATAGCAATGTTTACACTTATGGCCTCCTTCCCGGCAGGGTGTCTAGCTTATCGATAGTTTTCGATATTTGCTGTTTCCCTTTTCCCTTGGCATGCAAATAGCCTTAAATATTTGGAAAACACTCGATATACTAGTTTTAGTTTTTAAGTGCCGTTTGTACTGCTACCCCAGATGTGCCTCTAGGTAAGTGTCATGGCTATTGTTTGGAGGCGCTGGAGTGTAGTTAATCAAGATTCAAAGATCATTTGCACAAACGAGTATAGCCAGAATTTGTTTTTCTGAACATGTTAATCCATTCTTCGCCCCAGTTTCTGGCTCTCACTGGATATTTGTAGCACCCTTGCGTTGGTTATTTCTCTTTCACCTGCAACCCTCAAGTTTCAACAGTTCTGCTGTCTACCTTAAGAAAAAATATTTGTCTAGTATTGAGTGATGAATGGGGTGTGGCTACGTCTTGGCCCTTGGAACAACACGGTACTATTCTGTGCACTGTTAAGAGGGAATTATGCACAGTAATTGCTGTCTTGAGAAATCTTTAGTTGCCTTTTCTCTGCAATGGGATGTGCAACATTGTATCTTAAAAACAGAAGCACTCCAGCAACACTTTGCTCTTTGTCATAATGCTACTGTTTTGACTTAAATGTAATCTCTTAATTTGTTTCATATTAACTCTTGCTACTGTTTACATTGACAATCCATGCAACATAATGAATACCTGAAATGAATAAGTTTATGCAGGTAAGCCAGAACATAGGCTGAAAGGTAAACTTACATTTCAATGAGCTGTTGCTGAGAGTTGTTGCTTTTCCCACACCAAGATTCTTGTTATCATGGAAACTGCCAGTGTGTGTGCACCTAATACAGGTGTACTCCAACAGGAGCTATGAACGATGTTCTTCATTGGCTGCTGAGCTTGTTGAAATCTGACACCACCCTCTTATCTGTGTTACACAAGTAGACTTACTGTACTGTGCATATTGGGAAACTCAGTGTCTGCAGTGCAGTGAATAGATGTAATTACTTTAGTTCAAATGTGTTTTCTGTAATAAAATCAACTGCTGTCAGAGGTTTATTTTGTTAATCATGTTACTGTTCAATCTGTATTCACATTTCCTGCAGTTGAGGATGTGGGAGCATATTTAAATGTTTTATATTGAATCAAAAGTGCAGCACAATTTTATCTTCTCCTCTGCAGGCTTGTCTGAGGCCAGCCATAGTAGGGATTTTCTGTTGATGTCTTCCCCTTGTAATAATCCAACAGCAAATGTTAGCCATCAAGTAAACTTTCACAACCATTGGTGTCTGGACCTCAGTCACTGTCAGGGTTACAGAAGCCAGCTTCATGCAGCTCATCTTCCTCTCAGCTATCCAGGCAAAGACAGTTCAGAATTGGCCAGTGCCTACCTCCTCAGTATGATGTCTGCAAAGCCTGGAACAGTCCTTGCTTCATTCTGCACCCAGACTGATTGTGATGACAGCGTCCTTCATGATGTGTACTCCTGGGGGTCCCACTACTGTCCCATTACTCCTAACTTCTCTAACTAGACTACTGTCAGCCAGATGGTGGACGTCTTCCTCCCCGGGGGAAGTGCTCTTTAAAGGCACTATGTATTCTGGGGACAGCAACTATAACTATCCTCTCTGGCTTATGGTTAAACTCCCAAGAACTGAAGGTGTCCTAGTTAATTTTGCCTGTTCCAGATACACATCTGGGAATTTCATGTTTGGATATGCTGAACTGTATCTCTCAGTGGAGTTTTGATTATGTTATCCCTCCCTTGGTTAACATGGTTTCCTTTTGACTACTGTCAACTTTGATCTGGATGTCGCCACCTGCACTGGGATTAAAGAAAGTTTCTCTGATTGCTGCCGTTATGAAAATCATCCCAGTTGCGACCTCAAATAAAGCCCACATTACTAGTGACTGTCCTCTTCAATTTGTTTATTTCAAATGTGACAGAGTCCTTTAGCACTGACCCTACTGCCCTCTATAGGTGATATCTGCCAGAATATACCTATGCTTGATTAAAATTATATGATTGAGCAGGGAGATAAAAGTACTTACACAAGAGATTTAAAGTCTAAATTAAGCCGGTTTTGCTCAGCTGCCTGATAATGCAGAGCTCAGTCGTCCTCACACAGTCACAGCTGTGGGACACTAAAGGCAACTTCATTCATCCAACAGTGTGTGAGAAGAGTATGCATGAGTGAGTTTGCATGGTTAATTGAAAATATGATGAATGTGTCAATCTGACACACTTTCTTTAGAAAGCATACCCCTTTACATTTTGTTCACTTTATTGTGCTGTAAATTTGAAATAGACAAAATTGCCATTTTTTGTCCATCAATCTAAACTCAATAAGCCATAATGGCAAAGTAAAAAGATGTTTTTAGAAATGTTTGAAAATGTATTAAAATAAAAACTTCAAATTTAGGTTTATCCCATTTTTCTTGCCAGATCTTCTCAAGATCAGTCAAATGCAATGGGAAGTGTTTTTGAACTGCCCTCTTCAGGTCTTTTCATGGAGTTTGCTTCTGCATCTTTATCTGTGTTGAGCCAAGGCAAAGTAAAGTTCTACATGACGGGTCTCATGTAGAGACTGACCTTGGCGTTGTGATGCATGGCTCTGATGCCCTGACTGTCCCAATACCAAGGATCTTTTTTGGTAATCTCTGCAGCCTGTGTGGGAACTTTATTACTAATCCAGAAGATGATTTGTTGTTTCGGGCCATTAGACACTGGCAAACCAGCAGTGGGCATGAGTTTGTGGATGTGCCTGTGAACACCTCTGGTTGCAATGGAAGGTTTCCAACTTTTGTGGTGAGTAACCAGTGTGAAATTTACAGTAATTGCCTCATTGCATTTTTCATGTTAAATGTGTACAGGATAGCAATACTTTAACTGAATTTTTTCTCCTGCCCACCTAACAGTGATTACCACCAATGCTCCGATCACAAATCTGACTGCACAGAAAATCCAAGTTGTCTGTAAATGAAATGCGAAGAGAGCTGCTTTTGTAGACCTGGGTTTTTCCACAGTGCTGCACAATGTGGAGCAAGATGAGTGTGGCTGCATTTACTGTACAAAGGTGCTAACCATGACATTCACACGAGCTTCTAACCCAAATGTGCACTGTCGACGCTTCTGTTTTGTGTCTGTGGGCCACAACAAAGAGCAATGTACGAGCCTCACATGTTCACATGAAACAAAACTCACCATCCAAGCTGGCCCCATGTGTGTACATCACAACCTGTTAAATGCACAGTAATCGGTGGTAGATGCTTCAGGAGCTCATGACTTTAATATGGGAAGATGTCATTGTTTTTTATTGCCAGGATTGTGATGGGGAAGAATTTGACCCAACTGTTATCCCACAAGGTCTATGGAGTGAACATGTTACTGGAGATAGAGCTTTTTGGAAAAATAAAGGTGAGCAGTTGCACATTTACAAACACAACCCATTTGGTGTGCCTTTATTGTAACTTTAACATTTTAATTTTCCAGGGTGATGGTGTTCTGAGGGGTCTTTATGTTAAACCGAATCACACAGCACTACTGCATTCTAGCTCACTGACTAGTGTTGTTACAGACCCTGGGGACGTTGTCACCTTATGAAGGACCCAGTTCCATACAAATCGTGATTCCTCCCCACAGAAAAATGTGTGGCTTGTGTGGGAATGTTAGTGCTGTGCTTACAGATTACAAACTGAGCCTGACTGGCAACCTTGGAAGTGATGTTTGCACCTTTGTGGTCGCTACTGCAAACTGGAACAAACGGCTCTGAAGAATGTGGTCACTGCTTAGTGTGCAACTCCACCATGGAAGCTGAATTTGCATCACAAAGCTTCTGTGGCATACAACTTTCTCCTGCAGGATCATTTAGTGGGCGCCCTTCCAGTGTGGACCCAGAGCCTTTCTTTTATAACTGTATGAATAACTTGTGTATGTCGAAAATGAATGAATTGTTTTGCTGTAGTTTGAGAGAATGCACTTTTGCATTCCAAGAGGAACGAGCTAAAGCTGAACCACGGAGGGGTGAGAAGTGCTGTGAGTGTTGTTATTCTTGACTCTTCCATGTATATGTTGTTTCATTATTCTGTTTTTCTTGTATATGTAAATGTAAATTATTCTCATCCTCACACATTTTTATTGTAGTTTTAGAGTTCTGGCAGGCTCTAAACAGTGAAGTTGCCAGGTTGTTGGAAGGCTGACTTGACTGTGCAGTATATGAACCCTTGTTTCCCTCCCACGGCGCACTCATACTGTGAACACACACGGTACAGCATATGTGTTGATGCATGCCCTTTGGTATTTTATCCAGTATGCCCTGCCCATGGCCCTATTATGAGGGATGTCAGTGTGACTCTGGATGCATGCAGTGGTAATGGCTGCGTCAAAGTTGAGTAATGTGGTTGCTCCTACCATGAGCACTTTCATGAGGTGAATAGCTACAAATTTAGCTTATAACTAAACAGCACTCAGAGAGTGCAAACCTCTGCCAGGGCAGTTCACTGCCCCATAATGGCATTACATCTAAAAGCAATATTCCCATGATACCCTGAACCTCATAATATAATTTACTGAGCATGAAAACCTAGAATTTGGAATCACATTGATTATTGGTTTGAAAGTTATTCAAGAAATATTTTTTCAGTTACGGTAGTTTGCTTCAGGATCTAGCTCAGTAAATTTTGAAGATACTTCAATTCATCAGCAGAGTTTCAGTTAGAATTTGATCTTAGTTGCAAATCTGTAGCATTATTGTTGTCTCACAGTAGCAAGTTTTCCATCGGCCCTATAAATTCAAACATTCTGGATCACCACCTCCAGAATATTACTTGGATCCAGAACAGCTCAGATCAGTGTATGGTAGATTTTATATGGATGTCAACAGTGAATTTTTGTCTAAGCATTGTAGATGCTGTGAATGGGGTTAGAGGCAAAAATATTGAAATTCTTAAAAAAAATGGATTTGGATGATGAGCTGGATCAGCATCACAATTTTATGGATTGTTTCGTGGGCCATTCCCTACCACTCCAAACATTTTGATCAAAATCCATTCATTACCTTGAGTTATGCAGTGAACAAATCAACCAACAAATGCTGGTAAAAACATTACCTCCACCTTGGCAGAGGTACCAACTAGCAATGCAGTATATATACCCTACATATCTGTCCTCCTTCAACTGAAATCAAATTTTGTTTGGATAGACAGCACTGTTTCAGAAGGTCATACAAATGTGTTGCACTTGCTTTGCTTTATTTTTTGTCACAGGAATGATTTGATCTGTCTTAAAACTGCTTTGCATTTTTGTCTTCTTTGAAATATATTGCTTCACTGGGGGTTTGATGAGGTGACACATTTACATGTGATGCTGCTGCAAGTTCAGCTATAAACAAGTTTCCACAGTTCACCAAAACAAGTTTCAAGCCCTATTTATTCCATGTACCATTGAAAAAGATGACTCATTAGTGTCTTGCTAAATGAACATATGCCTCACCTGTATGTGTGACACATGATCAATCTCAAAAACATTCCAGGACATTGTATTATACCAAGTTGTTTATTTGCCTGGTGTTTAACAAACGGTTTAATAGCACATGCCAAAAGTGACTCACTGTTTTCTGGAGGTACCGTGAGCTGAGGGACTCTCTGAACAGTGTCACTGTCCCTGTGAACTGGCCTCTTGCCCCAAGGGAGGGAGCTGCACCCTTAATACCTGAGGCTGTGCACAAAAAGGTAGGCCCAGCTGGTTCTGTGTAGAAGGGTGCAATTTTCTCCTGCTATACCTACAGTTTAGTCAGCTGCACAATGCAACACTGTCCTGAATTACAACATTTTATATGTAAGTAAATTTTAAAGGGTTCTTTATTATGGCTGTTTTGCAACCTCATACATGGCACAAATAAGGGGGGATATTTTTTTCTTAGCATCTCTCCATTTTACCTAAAATGAGGTTAATTCCCCAACCCTTTGAGTTGTCTATTACAGTAGGTACTTAATCTCCTGCCTGCCTTTGGGCTTCAGCATAATTTGTTAAATTTTGAAAAAATGTATAGTGTCTCAGGAAATTTAGGAGCTGATGTTTGTAGTTTTTCCTTCACGTTGTTGATCACTCTCCTGCCCATTGAATAGACATTATGAGTCCTGTGGCACAGGCTGCCCTGCTCCTCTGAGGCCCCATTCAGTGCACACCCCTGCACCTTGGCTTGTGTGGAGACATGTCAGTATGACTCAGGGTTTGTCCTTAATGTTGACACTTGTGGCTCCTTGTCCCAGTGTGGCTACACCTGCAACAGCTACCTTACCAAAGCAACCAGACCTTCTGGACTGACGAGGGATACAATGTGTTTGTGATCCTCCCTTCCAGATGCCGTGCCGTTTGCATTGCTGTGGCCCTAATGTGAAGACTGTGGCATTCAAGGTGGAGCTACTAGATGTGTGCAGCATCCCGAGAGAGAGCATGTAGACCACACATCTTTGGCCAGTATGACTATGATTTGCATGGCAACTGTCAGTACCACTTACCAATGTGAACAGAAGCCAGGCCATGATGTAATTCACTTCCACATAAAGACAGATGGGCACCTTTAGTCAGCACTTCATATTCTGGTCGGTTTGAGTCATGTGCTTGTGAAGCTGAACAGCAAACACCCTGAGAACACTGAGGTGAGTGTCAATAGCCTACAGTATGTGGTTGCTGTGTATGTCATGTCACACAAAGCATCATTTTGACACTGTAATAGGTCACAGATAAACCAAACTTGACAAAAAATGACTTTTGAAAATGTGGTACCCTGTGTTGACCTTCAGATGCAATTGTGGCGCCCCCTACAGGCTGATAGTGCCAAGTGGAACCCCTACTGCACTGACTTTCTCTGGGGCTGCATACTTACATCTACACAGACATGAGCTTTGAATTTAGTCTCTCAGCATAGAAGGAATAGCATTAGTTTCTCCAGTAAATATGCTAGCAATACTTGTGGCCTGTGCGGTAACTTGAACTCTGATCCTGCTGTTGATTTCTGAGCAAATTGCATGAATCTCAGCCCTGAGCGTTTTGGGCAACTTTGGAAAAGTGGGCAGAATACTTGGTGTGTGGAGAGCTGTCTAGGAGGAAATAGTCCAAAATGTTCACTTGAGTGCCTGGCCCGCTTCTCTGACCCAGAGGCCTGAGGAAAGATTCTGCAAGTTAATGGACCATTCAGACACTGTCATGACAAAGTGAACTCCTCCAGCTTTTACAGGCACTGCGTCACTGACCTGTGTCTTCATGGAGGTCTCCAGCCTGCACTGTGTCACTCCCTGGCAAGGTATACTGCTGTCTGCCTTTCCCACGTGGCTCTAGTTTATGCCCTGGAGAAGTCCTGGATTTTGCTGTGAGTGTTTATAGTGCTCCCAGCAAGTGAATGAAATTAATATCTTGTTCAACTGTAACTGTGTTGTTTGGCATAACTGCACACCAAATGAAGTATGGAGAGTTTGCAGATGCTTGCGCAACCATGCCACATTTCAGCATGTTCAGATGGATACCTATATTGATCACATAACATTAGGAAAAGAGAATGGAGATTATTTGCGTACAAACCAGACGTGTCTGTAGGAACTTTCATGTAAAGTTTGTTCACTTTTTTATTCTTACATGTTGAACATTTTAGTTTAAATTAGATGCAGTGTGCTATGATTCATGTTGGTGTTGAGGCCATAACCTTTCTGCTACTATTGGACCACTAGATGGTACTAATGCATCACCGGTCAGCCATAACCTTTACACCATTTTCATGTCTCTCTGTGTCTCTATAGACCCGTCCTGTCCTTCCAGTACCAGTTACAGCATCTGTTCTGTCTGTGTTCACCTCTGCCTCAGCTGGTGGAAACACACTGTAGAGATGCCTCCAAGCACTGGGGAGAATTGCCTCTGTGAAGCAGGTTTAGTTCACAATAGCAGCCTCTTTCTATCCAGAAAGCTGTGGCTGCTTTCACCACAGAGAATATATCAGGACAGGACAGGAGGTGTCTACATGTAAACAAAGTTGTTTATGTCGTGCTGAGGGACACATAATGGCTTCTGTGGAGAGGATGAGGAGTGTAATCTTTTTAGGGGTATTCAAGGTTGCCTGTGAAGCAGCATATAAGGACAGTTTAATTAGAAAGCGTTAACTTCTGCTACATTTTTACTTAATATTATCCATTTGTTTGCATTATTTTAATTAGAAGTCATTAAAATAAATATTTTCCCTGTTGGTAAACATAACTTGTTTATTGGCTGTTTTTTTTTTTAAATAATTTCAGGTCTCTGAAAGCACACTTCTTCAAAGCTGTACTGTTAGCTGCACATGTGGACCTCCTCTTGGCTGTGAGTGATACACATGTCCTCCACTGCACAGTTGTATAGTTTCAGATGGAATCACGGGGCTGCCACAAGGATGGTGAGCATTCAAACTGCAGAAACATTTTTAATTTTAGATAGCAGTTTGTTCACTGGTGCATTTATTGCTTTTCATGCTGTTGACACTAAAATTACTGTATTTTTTTTCTTTAAGCAGAGCAAAACCTAGGTCCATGTGAGGGAAAACATGATGAAACAAACAAGGAAATGTTACCTCAGCAATGGCC